ATTCAGAACTGTCTCACTACGCGGCACTACGGCACTAGTGTGCATGCAAACTTGCTGTATGTTACTGTGCAACCGGCGGATATCGATACTAGAAGCCATTTTGAAATCCAAGATGGCTGCCATCTGTATTAGAAATACTATCAAATACCCTACAACATGGGTATTTTTAAAATGCGAATCTGTGATGGCGGCCATCGAATTTCGACAAAACTGTCAAACACCATACAATATAGGTGTTTCTGGAACGGGGACGACGTGTAGAGGTCGAATATTGGTGTGGGACGCCATTTTGGAATTCAAGATGGCGGCCATCGGTTTTAGAAAAACTGTCAAATACCCAACAAGATGGGTATTTTTGGAACGAGGACGACGTGTAGTTGTCAAAATTTAATGACCGCCGCTAGTTTGGAGTGCAAGATGGCGGCCATCGGTTTTGAAAAACCTTTCAAATAGCTATATGGGTATTAATATGGGTATTTCCAAAACGGTGACGACGTGTAGAGGTCGAAAGCCGATGATGGACACCATTTTGGAATCAAATATGGCGGTCATTGGTTTTAGAAAAATTGTCAAATACCCAACAAGATGGGTATTTTTGTAACGAAGCGACGTGTAGTTGTCAAAATTTAATGTCCGTCGCTAGTTTGGAGCACAAGATGGCGGCCATCGTTTTTTTTTTTAAAAAAAACCTCTCAAATATGCTACAATATGGGTGTTTCGTCCAGGATAAGTGTGACCCTACGTTGTGTTATTTTTGCTGCTTGGATTGATACACCGGTAGAATTAGATACACTGTTTTTCTATGCCCCAAGAGGCTACTTGCCTGCTCGGGGACTCAAAACGAACTAACTATATTTTATTGAATATTCTTTGGTTTAACTACGAAGTCATCACAATACATAATATCAATCACATCCAAAACTAATTACAATCAGAAGAACAATAACAACAAATGACCAAAATAAAAACATCCACGGTCATAGTGCGAATAGCGATGACTGCACCATACTGCAATTCGCATTGAACTGGTCGTTACCATGTCACTGGGGGCCATTTATTATTACAACATTCGTGCCGATGGTACGTTCGAACAATGGGTATTTCCAGAACGGGGACGACGTGTAGAGGTCGAAAGTCGATGATGGATGCCATTTTGGAATTCAAGATGGCAGCCACCACTCGAACAAGTGAGACACTTTGTAACTTTTTAGCTAGTGGGGCGACACATCTAAATCTCAATCATAGATGCTCAAAAAATCTCACGCCAGCGAATAAATTTACGAAAAATCTTCTTGCCATTTTAAGCATCTAAATCCATCTACTCGCATCGACTTCCATCTTTTTGCTGGAAATCTTCAAAATCTTCATCAATCTTCTTAAAATCTACTCATCGTACGTGCAGCTAAGCACAGCAAAACAAAATCGTTTCTGCATCGAAGATAGAGTCGCCCCCCTCGCTTTTAAGCGTTTGGGAAAAACTGATGCAATTTTGACTGAAACTAGCTAAGTGTGTAATGTTTACACTCGTAGAATTTATACACAATGTATGTAAAGTGGTTATCGAGATGACATCGGAGCAGGAGCACATCGGCCAAAAAATCTTGTGCGCCGTCGTGGAAAATCCGACGGCATCCACGTCTACAAGGTCCGGAAGGCATCGAACCGGGACGACAAACAAAACACGGTGACCAAAACCCCCGCCAAGTGGCTGACGAAAATGAGGTGCCTCATGATATACAATGAGTTGCCGGGGCAGGAGTTTTACGTTTCCACATCACGGTTGGCCGTTCCTGAGCAGGCAAGGAAGAAAAAGGTGGATAAATTCGTCAAAAATTTATTGGTTTGACAGGCCACCTGTGGGTGCGGCAAGATGAGCCAGCCGTACATCACGACGGGTACCATCAAAGGGCAAATCTACCGGGACGAGTACCTCCAGAAGCGCCTCCTACCCTTCCTGCGGTCTCACGGAGGCGAGACGCTGTTTTGGCTGGATTTGGCATCCTGCGACTAAGCACGACCAGTGTTAGACTGGTATAGAGACAACAATGATGTTTTTGTACCAAAAGTAACGTCGATTTTCTAGTTAAAAGAAACCTCAATATGGCTTTATATCCCTTTCACTAACACTCTATCACCGCTCTTTCAATTTGTTTAAAATGCGTTATGTTCCGTTTTCGTTAATTTTTTTTAGATAAATATGTGGATGGAAGATAAATTTAACAGATTACGTGTAATCTTCATGTGTTTTCACGTGAGAAACGCTTTAAATATAAATTTTTATTTTCCGTCATATACGTCATGAAACCTCTGTTGATGTGTTCCATGAAAGACGAAACTATCAAAGTCGAGTGCTCTTTCGCTCGTCCGTTTCACCGAAGCTTGAAAGAAATACCAATGGAGCGACGGGAGAAAGAGAGACAAGCGATTGAACATGTGTTTGTCGACGCCGACTCAGGTGCTAGAATGCTGCGAAGCTGTTCGACTTTAACAGAAAAAGAAAGCCAGCAGTTTCTTCTTCGCATCGATTTGGTCGATTGAAGCTGATATTGTGACACCCTGACCAAAAGACGTCAACCACCATCTTGGATTCAAAAAATGGCATCCAACATCATTGGAGTTCTGAGTCTTCCCCTTTTCTGAAAGGAATTTCAAAGTGATTGTGAGAAGATTTTCATAGAATATATGTGAATTGTAAGGAGAACTTGAAGAGAATTTTAAAGAGAATTCTAAATGAATTCTGAAGTAAATTACGAGCTTTTGAGGATAAATGCAAACTGATACTGAAGAGTGTACTAAGAGAATTTAGAAGAAAGTTTCATGGAAATTGCACGAAGAATTCCAATTATTTATTTTTTTTTCCTTTGGTTTGTTTTTTCCGACGATCTTGTTTTCCGTGCTGAGCACCAATGCTACCGACGTGCCAGGAAGGCAGCTCCCACACCTGGACCCTACCTATCGACCCATCTACTAATGAACCGGGGACCAACGGCTTTACTTCCCATCCGAAGGAAGGCGTGAAAGAATTCCAATTAAATCCAATTCTGAGGATGACCCTAAAAGAATTCGGAAAAGAGTTTCAATTCTTGCGGCATTCTGAGAAGAATTCCATACGATTCTAATTCTGGTCAGAGTTTCAGAGCAATTCTAAAGATGATTTCAAGACAATTTTTAGAACAGTGTTATGGCAATTCCGAGGATAATATCAAGGGGACTCAAAGTTATCTATGGTCAAACATTATATTACGTATTATAAAATACTCGTCAAACGTAAAGTATCTGGGAGTCATTCTAGATGATAAACTTAATTGGAACTTACACTTAGAGCAAGTAATTAGAAAAGCCACGAATGCTATCTGGGCTAGTAAAAAAACATTTGGAAAATATGGGGACTTAATCCTAAAATGATTCATTGGATCTACTCGGTTATTGTACTACCTAGCATAGTATACGCTTCATTGGTTTGGTGGCCTAAAACACAGGAAAGCGTGACCCAGAAAAATCTAGACAAATTTCAACGTTACCCTAAATGGTAGCTCGTTGTCCTGAACAGATACGATACTAAACAGGGGTATACCACAATAGATCAGCTTAATGGTCGCAGTGGTTCAAATGAAAAAAAAAATGGTCAAACAGCCAATATCAACAGAATTTCGAGGACGTATGTAGAGGTGGATCGTTTTTTTAAATTTATTAAGGAGATTTTAAGCCACGGGCTAGTTCATCTACAAGGTAGAGGTGGAGTGGCCCCATACTATGAAAGGGCTGAAACAAAATCTGCAAGCAAGCACTGGATTGGAACTCGGCAAGAAGTGTCAGCAGAGACAGACCCAGGCGTCAGGAGCCTCGACAAGAAAATGAAGCAATCCGATAACATAAAATGTTCTCCAAACCATACGGAAGCTTAGACCATGAGGTTCTACAGTTCAAACTTTTGTTTTTGTAATATATATTTGAAGGACTCGAATTATTGTGTCATTTCAACTTTATATCCCACTGGATATAAGGGGATCGATGAAGGTCTGCGGGTTCAAACAATTTGATCGTATCATCGTACAATATCTCGTTGAGTCTCAAGATCTGAGCTCCACGATGATTTGTCAAATCTAAGATATTTTTCAACACATCTATGTCTCTCATAATGTGATTAGGTCCAAAGTTGCTCCATGGAGTCAGCCTGTAGAACTTCAAGATCTGAACATCAGGATTCGTTGGAGGACTCGAGTAATTTTGTCATTTGAAATATATATCCTACATGATATAAGGGGGCTCAACGAGGCTCTACGGATGCCAAAATTTAGTGAGGGCATCGTACAATATATCGTTGCGTCTGTAGAAAATCAGGATCTGAACTCCAGGATGCTTTGGGGAATCTTAGATATGTTGCTAACGCACATATACATCCTTCCTGATGTAATGAGCTCCTACAAAGCAATCTAGAGTCGTACAGTTAGTCGAGACGTCGAAAAAAACTTTATTGAGCATGTAGAACTTAAATATCAATTCTTCAGGATGATTTGGGTGTTTTGGCTCTAAGAGGATTTGTAACTACATGTATTTTGTTAAAATCCCCTTTGAGTCTCAGTTGATCATTTAATGTCTAAACATTCATTATTATTATTGAAAGTTCCTTAAATAAGTACATATTCGAACAAATTGGGACTGAAACGGTTAAAAAATACAGCATACCATGCGACGGGTTCAATGCTCGGTTCGATCAAGGAAATTTATCGACTTCTCTGGTTCAGATTCAAAAAGCTTCAATAAATAACCAAGAAAGTGCTCAAAAAACTTTAACTTGAGGAGAGACGTACAGTTCCAATTTGGACGTAATAGCCATAGAAGATGAATGAAATGTTCAAAATGGCCACTTTTAGGAATTAAAACTATCAAATTACGAGCCAAAACTCACAAACTGAGCCATAAATCGAATTCCACGAGTTCCCTCGTTCGACAAATGGAACAACAACAAAAAAAAGCTAAAGCATGGGTTCAAGACCTACCTTTCTAGAGTCCGTTGTCTAATCCAAAATCGTGCCGCTGCTGTTGCTGTTGCAGTTCAAGCGTATTCGTGCCAAACCGTAGCGGCGATGACCGGTCAAACTAAGCCGGTCTAATCCAAGCAAGTCCACTCCCTTTGCCGTGTTTCCTTTCACTCGCGCGCCTTTGCTCACTTTTGGGGAAGGAATGTCACTTGGCCATACGAAACCAATATTCCGACTGGACTAATGTGCAACCTACACACACGTTCGGTAACAATCACACACCGTATTATTTCACTGCCTCAATTTTCTGTAGTTCGAATTTCGATATTTTCCATGCACTCACTGCGCCTCTTCTCACTCGCTCTACGCCACAGAGCACTGGATTGGTTTTCTTGACCTACATATGCCGGAATCGGGAAAGACAAACATATACAACCTCTTCCAATACTGATTTGATTACATTCATGCCTGGAAATCTAAGAGCCGGAGAATCACAGTCACCATCATATCGATATGCAGCCCACGAGCGCATCACTGGACATCACCATCCACCAATTTGAGAGGAAAAATAATGATTAACCACCCGACGACGATGATTGATCGGTGGACGAGTGTGTGCGTGAGTGAGTCTGTCTACAATCATGTGTCGATCGAGACGGCAAAAACACTCAAATAAAGGTGATCAAATTTGTAATGTTGTAATTATGTCCGGCGCGACTCCACCGATAGCACCATCGAGCGAGGAGACTGAACTCAGAGCTGCCACCTGATAATCGATGATGGGGCGGGAGAAATGTGAATGGTGCTTGCATAATGAGTAGTTGTTGAAAAGCGCACAACTCAGGAATCAATTCTTACAGGAAATTCAAGCTACTTTTTAAGCTTGCAAAGATATTTAAGGGAATGGAATTCTTTCATTTTGACTCTAGCACAGCGGTTCTCAAACTTGTATCGATTGCCACCCACTTTGAGAAATTCCATAACCCTAGTAGCACGCTTGTCAAAAATCAATTGTAGAAACTTATATACGACTTATTTCAGTCATAAACAAGTTGCTGTAACTTATTGTGATGAAAGTGTGCTACTCGGGAAGTTCACAACCCACCAATATTGAATATTTAATATGGTAAGGTTAAAATTACCTTAAAAATGTAACGAAGGTAGATCACCTCTTCGTGGTACGTGATACAGGATGTAAGATCTGCCACATCGAACTCTGGCCCTAAGCTCTTCTTGTTGACGGTTATGAACCTCGGTTTAGAGATTGTAAACAAGAAAAGGTGCGCACCAGGGTTCCGATGAACAGTCAAATATCAGTATCATTGTTTGTTTTTCTCACTTAGAATCGTATATTTGAAGAGAATCCAGAATTTTTCAAGGATGCGGAACATCACAATTGAATGAGGATTCTCATGAAAACTATTTTGATTGATGAGAGGTCGAATCTTTGGAAAGGTATCAGAACACTTCGAATGATGCGGAACATCACAATTGAATGAAGCTTCTTGTGAAAAGAGCAAGTATGTACAGGGTGTTCAATAAGTTCGAATACAACTTTCCATCGTTGGGTAGGTGCGCACCATGTGCAGTCTGTATATTGGTATTGGTGTCAGCTTTAGCCTCATATATAGGCTATGTTACCGTTTTGGTTCCTGTACCCTATTGGTTCACTTCGAGCGAGAATAATCAGGAGATAGCGAGAGCGAGGAATAGGGTATATGTGTGTTCATTGTGAATTCAATCTGTATGTCAGTTTCTTGTATGCAATATTGTCTTATTTTGAATGTAAATATAATTAAATATGTAGGGCAAATGAAAGACCACTCCCAAACCAACGGTCCAATTAAATATTGTAACCCAGTCACACCAACAACACATAACACAGAACACATAACGGGAAGGAGTAAGGATGAAGGTGGGCGTTGGAAACAAGAGAAGGATATGGACAAGGGGTGGTGAAAAAGTGGGAGGGAGGTGGAAATGGGCTTAGGTCAAGGGGGAAGCTACTGGGTCAAACTGAAGAGAAGGTTCTCTTTCACTTTAGCCATTGCGCGAGATAGATCGATCTGCTAAGTTAAGTTTCTTAAAAGTTTTGAAGAGAAGTGAAAAACATAGAGTCGCCAACAAATACCAGTGAAACTACCGAATACAGAGTCAGGTAGGACCCAATTAATACCCGGTAGCGGAATTCCCAGCCCTAAGACCACCTCTCATATCCCCCTCAGGACCCATTAATTACGGGCTAAACCACGAGGGCGTCCATTAACACGCCAACACCCGTGTAGCAAGCGTCCATCGGTAATACACCGACAACCACTGGGAGATCACCGTCGATCACCCGATCGAGCCCCAGTGCCACATCCGTCGTGCCACACGGTGACAACCGTTGAGCACCGGCATCCACTGTGAACAGTCCGTTCATCCGCCGCCGAAAAACTCCACCCGTTGCAGAATTCCGTCATCGCTGGCCAGCAATCTACACACCCACACTACAGACATAACAAGTGAGTGAGAGAATAAAGAGTAAAAGTGATAAAGAGGTGTTTTGTACTTTTGATCAGTGCCGACAAGCCAGGAGCCAACCTTGAAGCTCCAGGGTTTCAAGCTCGAGCTAGCCTACAAAAGAGGCGAGTGTAGCCCACCCCAAACTTTAACTAGCCCATCTGGCAAGCCATTAACAGCTAACCGACGCACACGGTGTCGACTTGCTGTCATTTGTTGTTTGTTTACCGCGCACGATGAAGGGTGGTACGTCGTTGTAAAGTTGTTTGTGAGAGGTGAGGGACCCGGCGACATATTCCGGCGGTTGAAATCCCACGGGGTGAAGCGGAATTTCATCTATACCACCATCCGTCGGTACCAGGAGACGGGCTCGGCCAAGGACTGTGCGAGATACGGGCGGCCGCGTTCGGCTAGGACGCCAGCAGCCATCAAGGTGGTGAGAGAGCGGGTTCGTCGGAAAATGATCCGGAAGACCACTGCTGACCTGGATGTGTCGATCGGGACTGCCCACACCATCATGACGAAGGACATGGGATACAAGTTGTACAAGAAACGCAAGGTTCACGGGGTAACGGAGGTTACATCGAAGAAGAGGCTGGACAGAGCCAAACTGATACTTTCGCGGTACGCAGGTTCATGTTTTTGATGAGAAACTCTTTGTCTTGCAGCACAATGTCCAAAATGACCGGTAGTCATCGGACAATCGAACACGCAGTCAACTCGTAAAATCAAGGCTTGGTTACAGCTTGTCTATTAACTTCTACAGTTCAGGCAAATGGATGGAACATACCGGTTCAGATCGAACTGGCGGATCCGGAGTTGTTCCGGTCAAGACAGATCGATTTAGTTCTGGGGATCCAAGAATTTTGCAGTTACTTCCCATCTGGAAGGGAGATTCAGTTGGGCAACGACCTACCCGTTACGACTAACGGAATCGGTTTTTGGGTGAATAGTGTCAGGTGAAGTCACTCCACAAAGTAGAAATACCAAGTACGCTTGTCACATGGCGGTATCGGATAATCTCAAGCAGTTAATGGTACAATTTTGGTCCTACGAGGAAGTTGGTGTTGTCAAAAAATACTCTCCAAAAGAAGTGCGCTGTGAGGAGCTGTTTGAGCGTACAGTTAGACGGGAATCGGACGGGCGATATACATTAATCCTCCCCTAGAACAATGAAGTTTTGGTGGAACTGGGTGAATCTTGAGACATCGCATTAAGAAGGCTGCGAGCTGTAGAGCGAAGATTGGCAAAGGATCCTAGTCTTCAGAAACAGTATGTCAATTTCATGATCGAATATCTCGAGCTCGGTCACATGCGAAGATTGGATGACAACAAAGAGAATGTAGTTAAACGGTGCTTTCTACCACATCACCCCGTAATATAAGAGTCTAGCACCACGACTAAAGTGAGAACGGTATTCGACGCATCCTGCAAAACATCTTCAGGAGTATCTCTCAACGGCCAGTAGTTCAACAAGACTTAAGGTCGATCGTTCTTTGAAGTCGAATTCGTCAGGTGATGGTCGTAGCCGACGTCGAAAAGATGTATCGACAGTTCTGGACGAGTCTGGATGATACACCGCTCCAATGCATAATTTGGACGGCACCTGATGGAAGGGTAGTGGCGTACGAGTTACTAACAGTGACATATGCTACGAAGTCCGCACCGTATCTGGCCACTCGTGCTTTGAAAGCACTAGCCAACGACGAACGAGAGCAGCTTTCATTGGCGGCAACTACGCTCGAAGAAGACGTTTACATGGACGACGTTATCTCTGGAGCAGACAACGTTGAAGTTGCTGTCGAATTGAGAAGACAAATCGACGCAATGATGATCAGTGGTGGATTAAAACTACGTAAGTGGGCATCGAACTATCAGCATCATCTCCGTGATTCCAGAACGCCGCGTCGGTGATGGTTATGGGGGGGGGGAGAAGTTTGTGGCCCCGGCACTTCGGGACCTCAGCGGGAAGGATCATCACGTCTTTCAACAGGACGGCGCACCGGCTCACACGGTGAATGTAGTCCAAGCGTGGTGTCGGAAGAATTTGACTAATTTTCTCTGTAAGACTTTGTGGCCTCCCAGCTCCTGGATCTTAATCCCCTGGACTTTTATGTCATACATGTTGGCGAAGCAGAGCGAACATCAAGTGAGCACTATGGACCAATTTAGGAAGCTCATTTCCAAGATCTGGGACGGGATGCCGACGGACCAGGTGCGTGCCGCGTGCGATTCTTTTGAAAAACGTCTGAAGCTTGTCATACAACATTAAGGGGGGTGCTCCCAACTAATATGTCGGACATTGCTTTAATAAAAATTGACTCAGGAAAGAATACCTTGTATTTTCATTTTTACACATTTTTAAAGTGTATTCGAACTTATTGAACACCCTGTATCGAAACCAAATTAGCTAGACTTGCATTACATTGCCCTGGAATTTGCTGAAATGGCCTGTAAACGAACTGAAATTAAATGATGGAACAGATCTGACGCGTTGCGGCAAAGTGACAGCTTAATCTATTGCCTAGCTGTCAAATTTACGACAACGCAACGCAAACGTTGTCTTATTTGGATGATGCTTAACAGCTCTCAAATAACCCACCCACTTTTGGCTTTATTATTCTCTTGAAGACCATTTCTCTCTGACATGAAGTGGGAGTTATTCAGCCCAGGGATGCGAAATGTATCTTCAACAGATCGGATTATGTGGAATGTATCGCGAATTGGTTGCCTGTAAATTACTGATTACCAATCCACGATATATTCCACGTAAAGTTGACCGATAATACAAAACCATTAATGTACCTTACTGACTACCATAACCATTACCATTAAATTTCTCAAACCATAAGTAAAAAGGTTCTAATACAGTCTTCTCTCCAAAAATGTATTGAG